CTTGAAGAATAAAACATCAGGTTAATGTTTAGCCAATCTATTTGATTATCAGAAAAACAAGATGCCAAAATCAATAGTGGAATAGTTAAAGTGGATCACAATCCAAGGAATTGCAGGTCCAAGCCCCTTTCTCCGAAGCACAATATGGCAGAGTTTCCTGACCTTGGCAATTTTAAGACACATGGATTTCAACTCCCAGAATTCCCCAGACTGCATGACTGGCTGGGGAATTCTGGGAATTGAAGTCCATGCATCTTAAACTACCAGTGTCAGAAAACCCTGCCATGTGGTAAAAGCCTTTGAAACTTCCTTCTCTATCGAAAGCCTTGAGTACCTGTGCTACTACAGTTAACAAAGAGAAAACCCTTACATTACCAACAGATACAGTACTGTGCAAAAGTGTTATGCAAAAATGAAGTAGATGAAAAATGCATACAGAAATGGAAGTGCTAATAGTTTATTTTTTATCAATTAACAAAACAGAAAGTAAATAAACAGAAGAGAAATCCAAATCAAATCAATTTTTGGGGTGATCGCTCTTTGCCTAATTGCCTTCAAAATAGCATCAATTCTTCTAGGTACACTTGCAACCACTTTTTGAAGGAACTTGGCAAGGTTCCTTCAAAGTTGTTCCAAGTATCTTGGAGAACTACATCTTTGGTAGATGTAGGCTGCTTCAAATCCTTCTGGCTCCTCATGTACTCCTAAACAGTCTCTATGATGTTGACATCAAGGCTGGGGGGAGGTGGGGGGCAAACCATCACTTCCAGGATTTCTTGTACTTCTTTATGCTTAATGACATTGGATGTATGTTTGAGGCTATTGCCCTGCTGCAGAATAATTTGGGGGCCAATCATGTGCTTCTCTGATGGTATGGCATGATGGATAAGTATCTGCCTGTATTTCTCAGCATTGAGGAAATCATTGTTCCTGATCTCCTACTCAGAAATGCTGCCCCAAACTTGCAAGGAAACACCATGCTTCACTGTTGCTTGTAGACAGTCAAGGAGCCTGAGTGGCGTAGGAGGCTAATGCCTCCTAAGGCAGCATTTAACATCCAGCTGCCTGCAATTACTGCGAGTTAAATTCTCACCAGGCTCAAGGTCGACTCAGCCTTCCATCCTTTCTAAGGTGGGTAAATTGAGGACCCAGTTTGTGGGGGCAATAAGCTGACTTTGTATAAATATACAAAAGTATGAAGGCTATTGCTTAATGCACTGTAAGCCGCCCTGAGTCTCTGGAGAAGGGCGGCATATAAATCAAAAAAATTTTTTTTTAAAAAAACGCAATGGCTTCCCTGGATGCCTTCCCAGACGCACGTTCGGATGAGGAAGAGCCAGTTCCAGGCACATCAGACGGGAATGTGGAGGAACGTCAGGAGGTTGACAGATGTTCGGAGACAGGAGTAGTAAGGCCGAGTGCTGCAGAGCAATCACAGGAGGAAAGACCGGACAAGTGGTGGGCTGAGCTAGGGACAGAAGGGATACAGAGTGCACACAGCTGCAGTTGGCCAGCGGAGGTGAGGAAAAACTGCCTCCCCTCCAGATCCAGGGCTGAGAAGATGGGGGCACAATGGAGGTCAGCCAGTGTTTCAATTCCATTCTTCAGTATATCAATGCGTCCAGCATTGCTCCATTTCAGTTTCATTCCATTTTCTAGAAGTTGCTTCACTTACTTCCAAAACATGTTTTCCATTAAAGTTGCTCAATTTTTGCACCTCTTTTCATCTTAATCACTCCCTGTTCTCATTGAATGTTCTCCTAAGCCAGGGGTCCCCAAACCACAGGCCACAGCCCACTACTGGGCTGTAAGCTGTTCGGAACTGGGCTGTGGATGTGGCGGGCAGGCAAGCATGCACTCATTTCTCCACTTGCATGAGCAGTGGGCAAGCATGTGCCTGCCACTCGTGCAAATGGAGTTGCGCTTACCAGTTGCTCACACAGAACCATCCCGTCTTCCCCTCCAGCCCCGCCAGTCCACAAAGCGAGAATATCGTGTTTCCCCGAAAATAAAACCCTTATATTTTTTGAACCCTGAAATTAGCGCTTGACCTTATTTTCGGGGAGATCTTATTATTTTGGGGTGTGTGGAGTAAGACGGGGCACCTTTTGCCGTCTTACCTGATTTCCAGCTCTGTCCGCCTAACCCTAACCAGAGGAAATGGTAGGGACCGGCTGCGCATGCGGTTAAATATTTTCGGGGGGGGGGGGTTATTTTCAGGCGAGGGCTTATTTTCAGAGGATGATTTATTTTGGGGAGAGGGCTTATTTTCGGGGAAACACGATAGTTTGGGAACTCTGTTCTAAACTATCTCTATCTCTGTATACACATTATATATCTTCCTCTAATCCTCATTTTTTTTTGCAGCAGTCATTCTTTTATGTGCACTTTTCTTCATCCACAGTCTTTTCTGCTTCATCATTCCACAAAGTTTCCTTTATCCTTCCCAATAGCATGATTCCCACACACTTCTGTAGTATTCTATAGCAATGTTTCTCAACTTTGGGCACTTGAAAATGTGTGAACTTCAGTTCCCAGAATCAGCTCCATGCAGCGTCTGCATGCTCTTTTTATTCATTCTATCAGGAGATTAATCTATCTACTAATATTTTCTCGGATGAAAGACTATGCTATTGCTTCACACTGCCAAAATAAATAATAAAATAAAGGAGCTTCTCATTCAGCTGCTTTTTATCAAGCTCAGAAAATTGCTACACTTCTTCCTTCATCTGTCTTTTCAATGTAAACTTTAAGAATCGAGTAAGATAATATTTTCCAAGCACAATGTTCTACTGACATTGGATCTTAAAATGTAATCATACTTTCAACGCAGCATTGAAAAGGCAACATTATACCCTTGATAGGAATTTTAAATTCAAGTTGATTTCATAATTACACCGAGGAACAGAGATGTCATTTTTACTCAGGAACAAGTCTGACTAGAGATTGACAGAAGTTAACATATTTTTGTGTATGAATAAATACATTATTATACATAAAAGCACAAAATGTTAACATCATAGACCTGCATCGAAAATATGTTTTCTTCACACAGGAAATGCATTCAATCATAAACACTCCAACCTATACATATTTTATAGAAAGGTTTTATATGTCAAGTCTAATCTTTAGTATGGCACAGACCAACAGAGATTCAATACAAGTTTATGTATAAACATAAAACTACCTCTTACAGATATTACATAGTGGAGAGCAATATCAGGTAATAGTGAACAAAACTACAAGTAATAGTTCTTGTTTAACGATTGGTCGCTTAATGAGTGTTCAAAGTTACAGTGAACTTCCCTAAAAGTTACTTACAACCCATCCTCAAAGTTACAACACACACACAGAGGGAAAGGGAGAGAGAGATCTACATAGTCACATGGTTGTATTTTGGGCAGTTGGCAACTGGCTCGCATTTACAACTAGTTGCAGCATCCCACACTGATCCCAATTTCCAGTTTCCAGCAAAAACTATCCATTCAAGAGAATGGCTTTGCTTAACGACCATGGTGATTTGCCTTATGACCATTGTACAAATGATCATAAAAATCAGGTCAGGTCACACTATGATCCACTTAACAATCGCAATGACTTAGGGCCAAAATTCTGGGCTCAATTATAGTTAAAAAAGGACTATATGTCAGGCTTAAACCAGATATAGTCCTTGATTCTTGACAAATGTATCTTTTCTTTTATGTACATTGAGAACGTATGCACCAAGGCATCCTTGTGTGTCCAATCACACTTGGCCAATAAAAGAATTCTATTCTATTCTATTCTATTCTATTCTATTCTATTCTATTCTATTCTATTCTATATGTTTATGTGAATTTGCATGGATATGTATGTATATATATGTATACATACACACACACATATATATACACACACATATATATATTCACATACACACATATATATGCATGTATATGAATATAAATGCATACAAATAATTATATTTACAAAGAATGAGAATATAGGCTACTTAATACCATTATTCTGTAACATATTCCATATTATTATAGATCCCACCTAAGTGACTCTGAGTTGTTTCCAAACCTATTAAATAAGATAACAGGTGTAAACTTAGTTTCCAAATTAAATAATAATAATCGTAACTTTTACAGTAATTAATCTGGAACTAAAGTTTTTTGATTCCAAACAAACATTTTTTTCCCATTAGAAGAATGAGGCACATTAAGGAATAAGGTCACACACTGTTAAGTTACATGAGTTACACAGTTAAAGGAAGGTTTCTGTTTTCCTTTACCACATTGTGTGAAGAAGGGACAGTAAACTCCTGTTTAAACTATTGTAGTTCTGGGCATAAGAGTGCTGAATAAATGGATTACAGCAAATACAGATTCAGGACAGATAGAACCGCCCCCCCCCCCGCCCCAAGAATGCATATTTCCAGAACAAAAAGGACAGCACATTTTATAAAATTAGAGTGAAAAATGAACATCTAAAAAAAAATGCAGGGCTTTTGCAAGGCTTTCAGGAGGAAAGCGCTACAAAACGTGGCGGATTAGAGTTCGTGGCACTCTAATCCTACCAGTCTGGTCGATCCACTCAGAAATGTTTTGTTGTTGTTGTTGTTGTTGTTTGTGATGGTTGCTTTATTATTTCTCAAGGAACTAAAGAGAAACCTCTTTATTTTTTTTTAACTGAACCTTTAAGATCCGCCATCCTCGTTTTACTCCTTTGGGGGAGCCCCGTCCGAATTGTTTAACGGGAGTTTTCCAAAGTTGGAGGAAACCTAAGAAGGAGGCGGGGGGGGGGAGGGAGGGCGGGCATTTATTCGGGCACGGGCTGGAACTCGCCCGTCGCCCGGGCACAAGCAGCGGCGGCTCAGCCTCGCCTTAGCCGGAGGGCACCTAAAAAAGAGCGCCGTTTCTCAGCACCCCCGGCCGAGGTCAAGGGCAGAAGCGCAGGGATGGCGCCGGTTAAACCGGCTCACCGAAAAGCCACCGGTACTTTGTCTTCTCACCCACCGGGCATCCTGCAGCAGGTCCAGAGACAGGAGCTCCCGTCGCCCGGCTTGGCAGCGCCCGCCGCTTCCATGTCGTGAACCTGGAAAGGGGCACCTCCGACCTCCTCCTCCTCCCGGGTCCCGGCTTCTTCCTGCCTGAGCTCCCATCGCTCCGCTGCCTCTGACCCTCCGGCGGTGGGACCGGCGGTTTCTTCCCTGCCGCCCTGATCCTGCACCATCAGGATCGCTTCGAACTGCCTGCCGGCTCCGTCCGGCGAGGAGCCGGCAACTTTAGTGCGCATGCGGCAAGGCCGCTTTGGCTCCGCCTCCCTCCGTCCCGTGGGCGAGGCCGGCTGGTTTTCCCACGGGGAGTTTATTGGCGGGCTGCGCCGGGCCTCAGGCCGGGTGTTTACCACAGGGTCGCCCTTGAATGGGAGGATTGATTCCCTTCTGCTTTCCAGCTCCGAGAGTGGAAAAGTGGAATCTGGAGTTAAATTTGAGAGAGAATATTTGAGAATATCAGCTATTAAATGAGCGTTTTTTTCGAATTTGGCCGCTCTTAAGATGGATGGACTTCAATTCCCAGAATCCCATAGCCCAGGGGTGGGCAACTGTGGCCCTTTTACAACCTGTGGACTTCAACTCCCAGAATTCCTGAGCCAGCTTGGCTGTCTCAGGAATTCTGGGAGTTGAAGTCCACAGGTTGTAAAAGGGCCACAGTTGCCCACCCCTGCCATAGCCAGTTAAAGCTGGATGGACTTCAACTCCCAGAATTCCCCAGCCAACATGCTGACTGGAAAAATTCTACCAGCTGGAGCCCACACATCTTAATGTTGCCAAGTTTGAAAAACACTGAATTAAATACAATACCTTGTGGGGGGAAAAAGGGCATATGGCCACCCAGAATTGTGAATCACTTAAAGGCTTGCCTCTGCTATGAAAACCACTAGGCCGCCACAGGCATTTCATTCAGTTGTGTTGTTTGCCTTTTTTGTAAAAAGGAGAGGGCAATAGTAATGATATAAAGCAGTGATTTGTCAACTGGAGTCCATATGGCCCCTGGGGGTGCCTACGTGAAAAAACGTAATGATGCTTGACAAGAGGGGACCAACAAAAAAGGAAAATGTATTATATTGCAAATATTATATACAAATAAATGCCAGAGAATATCAATTAGTGCTCCAAGGTAGCTTCCTAGAACTCTCTCCTCTAATTTTTCTATGATAACTGAATTTGTTGGGTAGATCAGGAGTGAAATTGATAGTGAGCTTCCATGGCTGGAAGTGGACTTCAATGCAGGCCTCCCAACAGCTTACCTAGTCTACCATGCTGACTTAGAATGAGCAAGAAAGTAACTTGTCTGATTGATTGATTGATTGTATATGCTGCCCATCTCCTATTTAACCAGTCTATATAATGTTTAGGGCTGCAACACAAAGCCAAAGAATAAAAGGCAAGAAACATTAGTCACATGTACATTAATTAATGTAGTAATAAATATTCTTGTATGATGTGATCACCTCTTGAACAAGGATTGCAGGATTAGTCCTCGATTTACAACAGTTCATTTAGTAACCATTTGAAGATACAATAGCACTGAAAAAAGTGTCTTATGACTGTTTTTCACACTTACAACCGTTGCAGCATCCCCACAGTCACATGATCAAAATTTGGACGCTTGGCAACTGTTTCATATTTATGACAGCTGCAGTGCCCCGAGATCTTGTGATCACCTTTTGCAACCTTCTGGCAAGCGAAGTCGATGGGGAAGCCAGATTACAATGGTTACAAATTACAATGGCACTGAAAAAAGTGATTTACGACCATTTTTTACAGTTACAACCTGTTGGAAGGAAAAAGTTCCCTTTTCGATTCATTTCCCCAGCTGGGAAGACGTCGCTGACGCGGTGAAAGAATTTGGACCGAAGCGAGTTGCGTGAAAGCCGGATCTTTTTTTTCAGGAAGGCAAGAAGGCAGAGGCACAGATCGAGTGTTCCTGTTTAGCTAATAAAAACTAAACTGTTAAGTATATGATTTTTATACTTTGAAGTACTCTTTGAAGTTGGTTTGTAGAGTCTGATGGGATTTTGTGTGGTTTCTTTTGGGTACGTGATTGCTTTTTCTTATCCCTCCTGTCCAGTGGTGGGTTTCTATCGGTTCGCCCCGGTTCAGGTGAACTGATAGTGGCGGCGGCGGGAGGCTCCACCCACCTGCCCGGACGTCATCATGGATGCTCTGCACATGCGCAGAACAGTGGTGGGTTGCCCCGGTTCAGACCGGTTCGCAAGAACCGGTAGTAAAACCGGAGGGAGGCCCCACCCACCACCCTGGATGTTGTCATCAGCGATCTGCGCATGCACAGAAACAAGGCGCGTGTGCTCGCTTTGCTCATGCGCATGCACAATCCCGTTGCGAACCGGTAGTAAAGGTAAGTAGAACCCACCTCTGGTGCAGAAGGTCCGCCCGCGTGCGCTCCCGGTTCCAAACTGGTAGTGAAGGTAAGAGGAACCCACTACTGGTCCTGTCCTAATGGTTTTAATCCTGTCTCGCGTTTTTGTTATTTTGTCATGGGGCAATCTTGTCCGGGGAAGAGGACTTTAGTATGTTTTAGTGAGTCAATATGTCTTTTATTCCTTAATTATTTACAAAATCTGCTTTATAATCATTTTTGTGTTTGTCTTTAGTAATATCCCAGACCTTCCGTTTGTTTTGTGTTTACCTTTAGAAATAGCTAGGCTTAATAGTTTCTTTTCCCTGCAGGCCCTGAGTCTTAATATAGTCTTAATTTTTTGTATTTTGTAATGATTCTTAATGGTTCTGGTATTTTGTATTAATTCCATTGTGCCCAGAGTTCCAATTATATCAGGTTAGGACTTTTGCTTGAGGCCTTTGTAGGATAAAATTGCATTTGGGTGTTGTCTGTGTTATTTTAAAATTTTCTGGCCTTGCTTTCATGTGGTAACACTGTCTTAGTGGAGTGCCCTTCCCACAAACCTTTGTAGCATCCCCATGGTCACGTGATCAAAATTCAGATGTTTGGCAACTGGTTCATACTTATGGCCATTGCTGTGTCCCAAGGTCATGCGATCCTCTTTTGCAACCTTCTGACAAGCAAAGTCAACAGGAAAGCCCGGTTCACTTAACAACCAGATTACTAATTTATCAACTGCAGTGATTCACTTAACAACTGTGGCAAGAAAGATCGTAAAACAGGACAAAATTCACTTAACAAATGTCTCGCTTAACAACAGAAATTTTGGGCTCAGTTGTAGATGTAAGTCGAGAACCACCTATATTCTGTTTTCCATCATCCCTTTGGCAAAACGGGCAGCCATAGAAAGAGAATAAATAAATAATAAATGCTGGGGTTCTCACCATTCAAATTGGGATGAGATGGTATATCATTCATGTAATACATTGAGCAAACAGTATTGTTCACTGTTTCATTATAGAAAGAAATTTTAATATAGCCATGATGAACCAAAGATAAACTCATCGCTGTAGAAAATAGAACAAATTCAAAACAACATAATTTTTTATATACAGGTAGACATCAACTTACAACAATTCATTCAGTGACCATTCAAAGTCACAATGGCACTGAAAGAAGTGACTTACCAATCCTCACACTTACGACTGTCACTGCATTCCCATAGTCACGTGATCAAAATTCAGGTACTTGTCAAGCATGTATTTATACAGTTGCATCATCCCAGGGTTGTGTGAACACCACCTGCGAATTTCCCAGCCAATTTCCAACAAGCAAAGTCAATGGGGGAAGCTAGATTTGCTTAATGACCACATGATTTACTTAACAGCTGTGGCAAAGAAAGTTGTAAAATTGGGTGCCAGTCACATAACAATTGCCTTGTTTAGCAACGGTACCAATTGTGGTTTTAAGGGCTACCTGTATATAGGGTGGGTCAAATTTTTCAATTTTCAATTTCCAAACATTTATGGTGCTCCAAAATTGTGACATGCCTTGGGGATTGTAAAGATTTATTTATTTATTTATTGGTTTGATTTATATGCCGCCCTTTTCCAGAGACTCAGGGCGGCTTACAATGCGTTAAGCAATAGCCTTCATACTTTTGTATATACCTGCTTAGTAGGATTTTCGGGGGGGCCCCCAAGCGGTGTTCCTTTTTATATATAGTCAGCTTATTGCCCCCACAAACCGGGTCCTCATTTTACCTACCTCGAAAGGATGGAAGGCTGAGTCAACCTTGAGCCTGGTGAGATTTGAACTTGCAATTGCAGGCAGATGGTGTTACTTAACAGTGCTTTAGTCTGCTGCGCCACCAAGGCTCATTAAGATATTTTACTTTAACATAATTTAGATGTGCTTGGTAAATAACTACATAAATATCGTAACTTTTCAGACCAGCAATTCCCCAGTACATTATTATTATTAATAAGAACATTATTCTGGGTGCAGTGAGCCGGGTGAAAGATAACTTTATCATTTCACACCAGAGAAAGGCTCAAAAACAGGAAAACCTGCTCAAGTGATTGCAGATAATTTGGTGTATTTCATGAAGAAGAAAGACATTGACAAAAGCTTGAAGGCCATTGGAGGAGACTCTAGAAATATTAATACTGGCTGTGAAGGTGGTGCCATGCACTGGGTAGAGGTCAAGCCAGAACATCCACTCTGTTCAAGTTGATTGACTGGTCTGAAGGTGTATATGAGCCATCTTTGACGTGCAAACTGACTACAGTGGAAATAAAGAAGTTCATTGACGGACCAATGCAAGTATCACAGTGGCCCTGTCATGTCCAATCAATAGAGAGACGTGTGAAATAGGACACAGAGGCAGCAAGGAGAGTGTATACCCATGAGAAATTTGAGGGTTATATCAGAGGCCAAGAAGCAAGTCGGCGGCTGATGTCAAAGAACGAATCGAAGCAAGACTTGATGAAACTCACTGAAACATTTTTGTAACTCAGATAATTGCTTTCTGATGTTAGTTTATAATTGCATGGATTATTTTTCGCTTAGCTAGATAAGATTCATGCAGGAAAAAAAAAACTTTAATTTTTGAAGCGCAAGGTGTAATTTTGAGAAGATAAAGTTAACAGTACTTGGGTTACAAGAGACTTTTGTGGGTTATATGATCAGACGTGGCTTTACCATGCCAAGCTAAAAAACGTTGTGCAATTGCAAAGATAACAGCAGATTTGAATTCTTGGTGTAAAAACATGTATTTTTAGAACCCCTCACTGAAAAAAACATGCAAAAATTAATTTTCATCCCATTAAATGACAAGTCCTACT